TTTTATTTTATTTTTTGAGTTAGAGTCTCACTCTGTCACCCAGACTGGAGTGCAGTGGCCGCTCCCGGCCACCGCAGCCTCGACCTGCTGGGCTCTGGCGATCCTTCCGCCTCAGCCTTCCAAGCAGCTGGAACTACAGGCACGCGCTACCACACCCGGCTGATTTTTGACTTATTGTAGAGATGAGGTCTCGCCAAGTTGCCCAGGCGTGTCTCGAACCCACGGGCTCAGGCAATCCACTCACCTCAGCCTCCCAAAGGCGTGGGATTACAGGCTGAGCCACCAAGCCCAGCTACCTTGTTGTCCTTATTGTCTCTTTTGTCAGGCTATGCTAGGAGAGAAAGGACTACATAGCACTTGCTTTGTGTATTCAAGGCCTTATCCAGTGCCTTTAGGGCTTAACCAAACAAATAGGTAAATTAAGGCTGTTTAAAATCAATCTTGTGTTCAGGAATAAGCCACATTCCCTCTAATGGTAAGTCAGCTTAACTTGGCTAACTCGATAACTTCTTGATTTTAGAGTTACTTATGCTTTCCTGTGATTTTCATACCTTATTATTGAAGCTTTTGGTAGTATATATATATTTTGTCAACTGGCCCTGAAATAGAAAACTATTTCAGCTCAGCTGAGTTTTAATATAGTTTTAGTTTTAGTATTGTTTAAAATTAGTTCTAAATATGCTGAATCCCCTGGAAAAAAATATTCCCTCCAAAATGCAAATGTATATAATACAAGGAGAATTAAGTATTAAAGTTACTTTATACAATATATCTAAACCTCAAAACTGATTCTGGAAGGTTTTTATGCTACTTGAAAGTTCCATACTAAAAAGAATGGGTAGGAATGAAAAGTTCAAACAAAAAATTAAAAAATTGAATGAGCTTAAGCCCACAATCTGATAAGTATTATTTGTCTGTATGTGTATATCCTAAAGACCTCTTTAACTGTGTACTAAAAGTAAACTAAATAAACTTTTCACATTATACTAGTTTTGTTGCTCTTCAAATGAAAAGATAATATTTTAAGTTATTTATGATCACAAACTATGTGATACCACATTGTTTAGTTCTGTCACTTATTCACTCGAATTTTCTACAAAACCTAATGTGCTCAGGGAACTGTACTGGATACAGTATGTATGTCCTGGTGTCCTGGTTAAAACAAAAAAACAGCTAAGCCCCATCTCTTCATTGACCTTTTCTTCTAGGGAACCCCATAAACATTTACTTAATCTTTAAAAAAAAATTTAGAGCCATTTATTATAAACTTTTAAACAAAGTTATAACTGTTTTCCAATCATGGTAAATCTGTAGGTATACAGCTAGTCTAAACTCTTAGGAGCTGGTGTACAACAGAAGAAAATTAATCCAAGTGGAGAATGTGACTCTTATCCATGCTTTTGTTTCTCCTTAATCTCAGTTGGCCTGTTTGTGTTACAAATAAAATTATTAGTATTGTTTCACTCCCTTTCATTGACCCCACTGTTATGCAATTGAATCTTCCACTTTTTGGTCCTTTTTCTTATAATATTGATATCTACCATCACTTTATAGGTTATACCTATACTTAAGATGCCAAATAAGAATACTTCATGTTGACTTAGGGGATTATTAAAATATGAGAAATAGGTTTAAAAAAAGTTCAGTTCCTGGAAATTTCTGTTCCTTACATGTGCAGTTTCAGAGGAAAACATTTTGAAAACCTTTTCAGCAGTTGAAATATTGGACATACAGAGAAAAAAGACTGAACAACTGTGCTCGTTTGGAGTGAGGCACAGATGATAGATTTGGTACCTCAGCCTATGATGCCCTCAGATGCTGCTGTAGATGTCGGTGGAGCTAAGAAGGTCCTTCTGAGACAGTGTGATGTTCTTTGCTGATGATCAGGCTACTCAGGTTTAAAATATCTTTTCATTTCCATTATGGGGACAAAACTATTTTTTCCATCAATGAGCAGGAGGGATTATAATTTATTTGCCTTATTTATTATTTTTTCTCGCACATAAGGCAAGTTGTTGAAGAACCAAATGTTGTTTTGTTTTGTTTTCAGGTCTTTCTACGTGTTTCCCCATCAAATGTTGGAAAAGTGAGATGCTCTTAGACAAAATGAAAGAATATTAGCAATTTCATTACAAACCTCAGTTATAGCAAAAGCAAATCATGTGTTGGGTACTTTATTCAATGCCAGTGTTTTGATCATGGGTCTCATTTATGACCGCAATTGACCTTGAAAAGACTCTTAATAATTTTGTTAGAATATGAGCTGATTGTTCTGGGTTGCTCTTGGCAATCAGAATGTTTTGCCTAAGGGAAGATTCAAATTGTTGAGCTGCTCTTTTTTTCTTAACCATTCCCTGTAACCTTGGAACAACTTAAAGACTAAACTGCAAGCTTAAGGTGAAATGGTGTTTAAGACCCTTAGGCAATTTAGGCAAAATCTAACAGTGACTGGGGAACCCTACTTTTGAAAAGTTACTTTCAAAGCTTTCTCTGAGTAAGATACTTATAAGAGATCTGCATCCAATTTGTTTAGAAAAGCTAACCTACAGTTAATTTGAGGTCAAAATATTATTTCTTCTTTCCTCATTATCTATCACCTTATTGTCTGAAAAACTTCCTGGTTTAGCTTTCAGGGTTTTATTTTTTAATGCTGTGATGCAATTTCCTAGTGACAGGTTAACATTACATACCCAGAAGTTGTTCTCAAAGGACAACATATTTTTAAAAAAACAATAAAGAATTCTGAACAGAGAGCTTCCAGTTCAGCCTAACAAAGAGAAAATTCAAGAGAGGTTTGATCCCTCTTTAAGAAGTATATTTTTCTGCTCCTAGATTGGTGTATCTTTTTGCCTCAACGTTGGGTTTTTTTTGAGTCTCATCATCTTCCTCAAAATATTTATTGTTAATGAAACTTAGTTGCTGTATTTTAAAAAATGAGTGACCTTTGTCTAGGAAGTTTATCTTTGAACAAGGTAGTTTGATATCCTGTCTATTTCTTGATCCTCCTAAGGTTTCAATTACCTGAAGAGGTTACTGGGACCTTAGAGTCTGTTGTCTGAAAGGTCTTTGAACTAATCTACCCACTTTTGGAACATAAATGGCAAATTGTTGTTTCGCTTTGTTTTCTCTCAAGAGTATATGGCATGTTGTTATCTTCCATCTTTTGTGAGTTTCCCGATGACTGTCTGTATGTGTTCTATTGGGTCAATAGAAATTGTTCTTGTGGATTCTGTATGTGTTCTATTGGGTCAATAGAAATTGTTCTTGCGGATTCCTTTGCCTCCTAAGTTGATGAAAACGATAGGGCAGTTCTGTAAGCCAGTAATTTCTTATCATTTTCTTACTGAAAAACTCTTTCACAAAAGTTGGTAAAGCTTTAAAGCAAAAATTCCCTATATATCTCTGGCAATGGGAGGAAAGTAAAAGATTGTTGGGTCTAAAAGGAAGAATCAAATGTTGCTCATCAATTTTAAACAACACCTGAAGAGCAGACGAAAGGGTCCTCTTTCAGTTTTCCTGAAGCTGTGTTGTAATGACAAAACAGTTTTGTGTGTCTGTGTGATTTTGTTTTTGTTTTGTTTTTGACTTCACAGGAAGAGGTTTAAACATGAAGGCAAACCTTTTAGATGTTAGCATGGCTACATATAAAGCAAAGCTGCCTCTTTTTTTTCTTTTCTCTGCTTCCATTTAGGCCTATCACATAATTTAAGAAAAATTAAAATTTAACCACAGGAGCTCTAACTATAGTGTGAAAAAAAACCCTGATCAATTTTGTTTTCGCAGCACGATATTATCAAAGATTTAAGAAAAAAATTTGCCAGCCTCGGCGAGAACTCTCTGGTAACAGCATAAATGTCTGTGTTGGTTGCTTTTGATTTAAAGGTTTCTTTTTTCATTTGTTTGAGCCCATTTCTTTTCCCCCTCCTTTTAGTTCACTTTATTTTTCATATTCTGTAACTAGCAAGCCTTCATTTTTTAAACCTCTTCCATCTTCCAGTGTCTATTTTCCGTACTTTGGATGGAAAGTTTATGGCAGCAAAGCTGTCATTCTGGCTACCTCTGCTGCAGCTCTTCCTGCTCTTAGGTCATATATGTTTTGGCCGTTGTGTTTATGGACATGATACTAATTGACTGTTTCATGTCCCATTGACTAAGCTTCTCTACCACGCCATTTGATGGACACGCTGTCACAGGGCTCTATGCAACTTTCATTCTGCAACTTATACTGCTTAGTTCCGTCTCAATTCTCCAGCGAACTGGATTGCTCAAGTGAATGGTCATACCAGTCTTGAACTTGCTGTGCCTTTATATTTTATTTTTATTTTCTTCTTTATGTTTTCAGTGGTAGCTTAAGTGGAAAAGAACAAACTCCAGCCATTGCTCCAGCAGCACCATGCAGTATCGTTTGTTACCACCAGAGAATACAAAATATAAAGGCACATTGCATCTCTTATTCTTTGGGGGTGACTGGGGAGATCCGTATCATAAATCCACTACTTAGTTGAAGCCTTCCTTTTTATCCATATCAGCTTTCAATTTTGCTTAAACTACAAGACATCTCGGTTAATGTTTTTCTGTGATTCAGTGATACCTTGCAACTCGAGCCATTTGCTGAGCAGTATCAAGTTATGGCCATGACATGGGAGATTACTAAAAACATGACAAACTTATGCACAGATGTATAAATCAGAAAGTGCAAGTTTCAGTGATGAAGTATAGTACTTCAAAACTGTGATACAGGCTTTGGACGAATCAAATCATTAAAATTGAGAAAAATCCATCCTGATCAACCAGCACCAAAAGTATATCAAGAAAACTATAAAGGGAAAAAAAACAAGAGTTGAATATGTTAATATCTGTCTAATAACATCGTTGGTGTTGAAATGGTCCATAATGTTGTCATAGAGCCCATACATGAAGAGATGACTAAAAATATGGTCTGTAGAAAGCTGCTATGCTTACCGATAGCCTCAACATAAATGGTTGGGATTTGTGTCCAGGAAAAAGAAATGGAAAAGCAAAAGCTTCTATACCAGCAAGCACGACTCCATGATCGAGGTGCAGCAGAGATGGTACTGCAGACCATCAGTGCCAGCAAAGGTAAAGTCCCTTATTCTCCCCTTCCGCGTGTCTGTTCTTCAAATGTCAGTTTTACTCTCTGGGTGTTCCCTCATTTCAATCTCACTGACTCAATTAGTCCCTGAATTTCTGGCTCATGACGATACCCGGTGACTGTTCACAAATACCAGCTCTCATCATGTACAGAGCCCAGTTACTCTCAGAGTCCTAAAAAGATTTGTTTTATTTCTGTTCTTTAAGTTGTGGACGCTGTGTTATGACTTAATTCTAGCAGATGGATCATATAAAATTGGGGTTGGCAAGCTTTTTCTCTAAGGCTAGAGAGTATTTTCAGCTTTGAGGGCCATGCAATCTGTGTTGCACCGCTTCGACTCTGCTGTAGTAACATGAGCGCAGCCGGAGACAATAAGGAAATAGTGTGGATGTATTCCAGTAAAAACTTTGTCAACTTTTTTCAGGTGGCAAGCTGCATTTGGCCCTCAGGGCATAGTTTGCTGACCTTTGATATAAACGTTGGGACTTTTAAGTGAGTCCTTTTAAACAATTTCACGGTTACGGCACTATTGTATATCTCAGTACCCAGCTATATCAGTGGGGTTTTTTGTACATTAGTAATATCTTATTTGTGAACATATTTACATATAATCTGGAATGGAATGGAAAAGTAATGGAGGCACATTCTGTTATTAAGTACCCCACCCTTAAAATGTGATGATTCTTTCTATTTCTAAGATAGGTTGAGGTGAATAATGAAAAATAGAATATTATACACTAAATACAATTTCTCATAATTATCTGAATGACTGAAAATTGGGACTAGTCATCTTAATAAATGAGACTGTAAACATATCATGATAAAAGTGATAGAATAAAATGATAAAAGTTATTCAAATGTAATACTGTTGAGGAAGGAGGGAAAGTTTTAAGTAGCTCATATTTATTTTAATACTTTTTAAAACACATGATTATTTCTGGATTTTAATAATATCAGGTCTCAGTATTTCAAGATCAGTTTTTTCTTCCTCTTCTTTTTCTTCTATGACTTTATATCATTTCAATTCTAAATATATTATACAGAATTTAGTAAAGATGTTGACTTCAAAATATGCATTATTATTGTTTTACTATTTTTTGGTACATAAGTCAGTCTGTTTTCCTCTGCCGTTATATGAATATGTAGGTGGGAGTAATAATGATTTTTGAAGTGCATTGTTTGAGGTAGAATAAGTTAATATAGAAGGTGAAATGATGTAAGGAATACTGTCTTTTATATTTTTAAGGTGAAACTGGACCAATGGTGGCTGCTACTTTAAAACTTGGAATTGCTATTTTAAATGGTGGGAACTCTACAGTACAGCAGGTAATGTCTTTAAACCATTCACATAATCTGCTGTTAGTCTGTTTTGCATTTCTACAAATAAATATCTGAGACTAGGTAATTTATTAAGAAAAGAGGCTTACAGTTCTGTGGACTGTACAAGAAGCACGGTATCAGCATGAGCCTCTGGTGAGGGCCTCAGGAAGCTTACAATCATGGTGGAAGGATAAGAGGGAGCAGGCTTGGCCCATGACAACAGAGGAAGCAGGAGAGAGGGAAGGAGATGCCAGCTCCTTCCAACAACCAGCTCTTGCATGAACTGAACGGAACAAAAACTCACTCATTACCCTGGGGAAGGGCACCAAGCGATTCATGAGGGATCCACCCCATGACCCAGATGCCTCTGACAAGACCCCACCTCCAAATTGTAGATCACGTTTCAACGTGATATTTGGTAGGGGACACATATCCAAACTATACAATGTACTTTTCAAACCATATCGTAAAATAACTATTTCTTGTAAGATTTTTCATTGTTCTCTATAAAACATGTCTTCATTTTAATTTGCCACAATATCCAAGAAAGAGAATAGGAGGGAAAAAGTAATTATGTGATAGACTTCCAAGTCCAAACATAAAATGGTGTCAGAATACCTGAAGACATTAATCTAAGTGTGACTTTTTACCGTGACAAATGAATTCTTCATTTGAAGCATGACTCACTCGCTTACCATCCTTATGTGAAACCTGGCACAGGTAAACAGCTCATCCTCTTCCTGTTATAAATGACTATGATATTTGTGTTAAAAGGAAAAATAAAGAAAACTCACCTAATGCGTCAAAATATTTATCAAGAAGTAATTTCTCTTGCTTATGTTTTACTTTAAAGATCTTTATTATATTGTATATATATTCACAAATCCTTATACCCAGAGAGCTCTGAAAGATTATGTGATATTTATATATGTTGTCTATACAGAACTTAGCTTTCTTCTCCATGCCTTCAATATGTATCCTACTGCTTCCGTTTGACCCACTAAGCCACATTCCTTCATTTTAAAAGACCAATGATGTCTTTCATTTTTTAAAATTTGACTAATAGTTATCATGCCCCCCACAAAAGACCGTGCTTTTGTGTATCTTTCTCTGTGTATAGGTAGCATGTGTCTCTGTGTGCATGTGTACAGGTATGTGTATTTCTGCATGCACACACATACATGTGTATACATACAGCGCATGAACTGTGTGTATCTTTACATACTTGCTTGGTTTATGTTACCTTTGATTACTACCAAAATTTTGTCTGCTTAGCTGAGTCCTGTTTAGAACAGTATTGATACTAGGACTTTTTCTGCTCTATTCAAGATTTGGAGAAAAGCAGTATCCTTATCTCCTTAAAATCTTTATCTACATGCTTCCTATCATCTTTATGCACTTTAAATTTCAAACCTCCAATAAATTTTATCCATGTCAGAAATAGCCGTCTCATTGTACTATGGAACAATAAGCAAACAAGACAAAGCCATGAATGGCTTTAGCATTTTTTTACATTTATGGTTAACCAAATATTTTTTTCTTTCTGTTAGCCAAAATTTGAGCCACAGATTCTGGATGGTATTCTGAGATCAAAGGGAAAAACTGAATAGTCACATGATTCCTACCTTTCTTTAGATTTAGAGACTATGGTAGTGAAAACGGAATGTCTGTCTGTAGCATTAACATATGACAACTGCAACTCCCAGACTGTAATTCTGTTTAAGGAAATTGCTTTTGTATGGGAATCTCTGAATAGCATCTATGTGGATCTTCTTCCCAGTTAACTTACACTAAAGTATCTGAATCTCCAAGTACTTAAAGAGTCACAGGAAAATAATCAAGAGTAGTTATTTCTCCCTGGCATTTATGGTGCTTGCGGTGTTGTGTAGAGCAACACCCTCGTTCCAAGCCGTTTTTTTACTGCTGCACATAGAAATGTGCAACTATCTTGCTCTGACACGTGTGTCACTGATGACAAAAATGACATTGTAATGTTTACATGCAGTAAATTTTTTAAGTCTTTATTCTAGAATACAAAGCCTGTTTTGGTTTACTTAATTAACAAAAAACAAGATTAGTTTTCAATGGCCATGTGGTTTCCGTATTTCCTGTAGAAAATGCTTGACTACCTCAAGGAGAAAAAGGATGTGGGCTTCTTCCAGAGCCTGGCTGGCCTGATGCAGTCTTGTAGGTAAGGACACATTTCCTTCTTGGCGTTTTACTGAGCGACTATTTGTTTTACATTGCCAACAATCACTATACTTAGAAGAATTTTTAACAATTAAAAACACTTTAAAGTGGGACAATAGGCAATGTCTTGTTTTCTATCTGGTTTTTAGGGTGTTAGTAATGTCTTAATGTAAGTTAGTAATGTCTTAATTACTAATTTATTCAATGTTAATAGTCTTCCCTTAACTAGGGACCTTGGAGAATTAATGTGTGTGTATTCTGCATACTTGAAAATGAGTCAGGTATGCTTTTTTTTTTTTTTTTGAGTCGTGGTCTCACTCTGTCGCCCAGACTGGAGTGCAGTAGCATGCTCATGGCCACTGCAGCCTCAACTTTTTGGGCTCAAGTGATCCTTCCGCCTCAGCCTTCAAAAGTAACTGGAACTATAGGCATGCACAACCACACTTGGCTAATTTTTTGATTTCTTATAGAGATGAGGTCTGGCTCAATTGCCCAAGCTGGTCTCGAACCCCTGGACTCAGGCAGTTATCTCTCCTCTGCCTCCCAAAGTGCTGGGATTACAGGCATGAGCCACCGTGTCTGACATGTTTGCCTTTTAGAAAGAGGAAAAAAAGAAAAATTCTATTTAGGAGCATGTAGGCCATTTCTCATTTTTTCTGACTAAATGATCCTTAACTAATTTGTGATCATCATTTTCTACTTTTTATGGTACTTAGAATCATTCAGACAACATTTGACTCGGGAACTTGACATACACTTAATGTAATAAGCTCTTTCAACTGCAGAAACATGATTATTATATTTCTGCATGTCTGTTGAGTTTGTAATTCACTCCCCAGGTCGAAACCTATGAATGCCCATGTCTGACTTTCACAGGTATTAATTCATTGTATGCCTGGGGACAGCCTAGTATGCTACTAGTAAAATATGTTTAGTAACCACTGGATTTGAGACAGGCTTTCAGGATATGTGAACATTTGATTTCCATTTCCAGGTACATGGTGTTTAGACATTTGCTCTCCTGAAAAAAGAATATGTTCTATTAGTCCTCTAAATGTTTTTCTCCTTGTTATTGTAGCGTCCTTGACCTTAATGCATTTGAGCGACAAAACAAAGCTGAAGGACTTGGAATGGTGACAGAGGAAGGATCAGGTACTTACATTAAAAGGATAACCCATCCCCCTTTCTTCCCTGAAATGAGTCAGTTATCAATTAATTACTTTTCAAGTAGAGAGATACAGAGTTATTTTGAAAGTTGTAAAATGCTTCTGTGACTCATTTCAGAGTTCATAATTAGACACTCACACAGGTCACAACCAAAACCCAACCTTCCAGGACAATCATTAACTCTTTTTGTCCCAACCCTACTGTCAGCAACCTTTCCCCTCATTGGGTTTTTAACAAGGAATACGGACCCAGTAAGGAATGGAGATCTCTCATTAGACAATTATCTATGAAATCTTAAAGCACATAGATGGGCCAAAATTAAAGATGTTTGACTTTCTTTGACCACTTGAACCAGGCTCTTTCACATTCCTCTATATCCTTAGGCTAATAATCCTTTCTGATCCTTCAGTCTACCACTGTTCCTATTATTTTTCTCCCTTTTAGGACAGTGATCCTTCTCTCTCATATAGCTGTACATCTTTGCAAGTCCAGCTTGAGCTTGTTTGATAAAATGAATTAAAAAGTAATTTTTATGCTTAAATAATTTCAATCATGTCTTATTTGTGCACAAAAGCAATAATTCACATAATCAATCTTAAAGTTTTTCTCTCTCTAAATAGATGAATGAGAAAGTTTAGCATGCAATGCATTTAAGGCAGAAATAATCATGGCTGCCTATTCACTTTGGGGGTATATATTAAGAAAAAAAATTATCTTCAACATTTTTTTCTCTGATCTATTTTTATTCTTTTATGTTTGATTTTTATACTACTGTAGTTTTACAAAGGCCCCATGTGTTTATCTTTTTTTTTTTTTTGGTCTGATTTGAACTTGTCAATTATTAGTTTTGGAATATTGGGTCTTTTATTGGGCTAATCTTAGTTTAAAAAATAAGTTTTCTCCCATCTGCCATTTGTAGTCTTTGCTTGTCTTTCTGAAATATTTTACAATGAACAAATCTATCTCTGTGGTTTTTTTGTTCTCACAAATAGGAAAAAGAACTTCATATTATTGCATTTTAAAATGTATCATTTATACACAAACTCATATGCTACTATCAAGTGGCGCCTGTGTTATTTTATTTTCTGCTTGACATTTGGATGTATTGCTCCAGTCATCAAGTACGTCATATGGTTACTTAATTGAGTTAGCTACCTTCAAGAAAAATCTCCAGTACCACCATAAACTTACTTAGGTGCTCTGGCCTGAGGTTCAGAAGGCCTGACCTCCAAGAAAAATCACCAGTACCACCATAAACTTACTTAGGTGTTCTGGCCTGAGGTTCAGAAGACCTGGCCATCAAGAAAAATCACCAGTACCACTATAAACTTACTTAGGTGTTCTGGTTCCATCTGGAGAACTCGGAGCCACTACAAATCTCAAGGTCCTTCACCTCCCTGCCTCTGGCATCTCTGGGAGGTCCTGAGAATTTTTCAACTGTAAGATGCCTAGAAATGAATGAATTCTCTCTTCAAGTCTGACTTTCCTGTCTTGGAATTAAAAATCAATTTCATTTTCCCCTGTAGTTATGACCTAGTGTTCCAGAGGCTCTGAACATAATTCCATTAATCATTCTTTAGTCACTATCAGCTTCCACAAAGGAACAGCGGCCACACAGGTTTATTTTACTTAGTCTCCTATCCGTTGTCACCCAGATATGTATTGGAATAATGTCTTGGGGTCCCAAATCAGAAATAAGTTTTTGAAAGTGATCATTCTGATGTGAGAATTATTTACATGTCCTAAAAATGAGATTGGTTCAATTTGTGCATTCTTTTTCAACACACACAGATTAACACATTTTGTAAGTTATATCGTTACATCTAGCAAAACAAAAACAAAATCTCAACTTCTTTCTTCTTCCCCATTTCCTTTTCTTTCGACTACTGTAAATATCCTATCCTCCCTTCCTCAGTCATCACTCATGAGCGTGGTAATTATTACAAATGCACTGTCTTTTGTTTATTTGCTTTTTTGTTGTTAGCTTTGTGTACAGACTTGATAGTGACAGTTTTTGTGCATTTGTTCCTTTTATAGACTGTCTTAACAAGTAGATTATTTAATTTCCATCCTTATGCATCCTGTTATTTCTTAAATTGATATCTCGAGCTTTCTTCTTTTTTTTCTTTTTATGAGGATGTATACTTATTAGTATATTAGATATGAAGTGGCGACAAGTATTTTATTTATGTTTTTGGATTTGTTGTTGGGTTTTCTTCATTAAAAAAAAAAAATTCTGGTGGGCCCAACGTTTGCAGTTTGTACATGAATGAATCAGAGAATGAGTGCCCTAGTCTCCCTGTGATGTTTCTGTCTTGAACATATTGTGGCTTTATGGCTGCACTGACTGGTGCATGGAATATCAGTGTCAGCTTCAAGGTGAACTGTGATGAGCTGAATCTCCTTCTGACCAGTGTGCTCTGCCAGTTACCTTCCACTGTTGGGAGGTCTACTGAATTTTTCTCTGTTCCTTTTAAAATATCACAAATTAAAAATCATTTAACATAAAAACTAATCTTTATTCTCGATACCAAATTCAAAGAGCAGTAGAAACAATAGCAAGTATTTACTCTTCAAACTAAAATAATAACAAAGATGGCATTAGTATTTCAGAGTAGTTTCTAAAAGACATTCTATGCGATGAAAATAAAGAACAGATGAGATTTTGAACAGTACCTATTATGTCAGCAAGGCTTTTGAGACTAAGTTGTGCTTTCTGTTTATATGTTGTTTCCTTCATTGGGAGATCTATCAGGGGAATATGTAAGGCCAATTCATCAGCTCTATTACTATTATAATATTTTTTAGATGGTTTTAAGAACTTTTATATTGACTCCCTTTTGGCATATTTTAAAAATTTCTGTTATGTGGCTATTCTTTTCCTTGAAATTCTACAAAAGTTTTTTTTTTTTTTTTAAGCCCATACCCTTATAGGAGAAGAAAAATCAATCATCCCTCTTGAAAGGTAGAGAAAAGACTGAAAACCCTAAATCTGTTAGTGATTTCATTTCTTCAAAACTTGAGGCTCAGATAGCAAAGGCTTAGCACTGAAAAAATATATATCTAAATTTTCTTTATCCTAACCCACCACCTTTAGTAGGCTAAATCTCTTCCTGATGATGATAATATGACCATAAATTATATAGCCATGGCAAATATATAAGCTTAAAAATGCATGAACTATTTGATATCCACAACCCACAGTGAGGTAGCTATTACCTTGATTTATGAGAGGGGACCCCAAAAAACCAGAATTTATTTATAAAAAGTGTGTTTATTCCTACATGTTTAAACTTCAATCACCTTCAAAGTACCCTCTGTTGGATGCAATATACCTGCCTAGACACTTTTTCCACTGCTCAAAACCATTTTTTAACTCATCGATTTTGATGCCTTTTAATGCTTCTGCCATTTTTTGTTTCACCTCTTTCCATATCAGCAAAACATTTCTCTTTGAGGACTTTTTTCATCTGGAGAAACAAACAGTCACTTGGGGTGAGATTGGGTGAATAGGAAAGGCAGGGCTCAGGGGCCATGCTGTTTTTTGGTCAAAAACTACTGAATATTCAGTGTGGTGTGGGCAAGTGTGCTCTTAAGCCACCCATGATGAAATGGGCAAACATGCTGAAAGAATCTCCAAAAAAATTTTCGCTGAAACTGACCACAGCCTCTCACAACAGTGCTAGCTGGAACACTGATCCAATGGGCTCCTAGAACACGTATGTAGCAGGGTAATTCTGTACTACAAGGAGCCTGCCCTCCAAGATAATTCTGGGTTTTTTTGTGTCCCCCTGTATAGATAAGGAGATAGAGGGACAGAAGGGTTTTATGACTTTTTCTAGGTGACAACAGCAAAGCGGTAGGGCCAAGACAAATGCAGGCGCTGTGCCTACCTACCACTGTTTAATGTACAGATACCATGAACCAAATGACTTCCTTCTCATCTTTTCATAATCTTTGGGCGCTTATTTCATGTCCAGCACTGCTTTAAAGGGGAATTTTGGCCCTGTGAATTATTACAGTTCTTTGCTGCCTTCCAGGACACCAGTCACTTGCCAATTTTTGCACTTAACTGTTTAAGATTCAAAATCACTTTTGAACTTTTTGCGATGACAAAAGCTATTCGTAATCTGATATTGAGATACCATTAGGAACCACGTGTTCCTTTAAGGTTTGTATATAAAGATTTCAGACTAATCATTTCAAGTCGTTTTTCTATTGCTGTTATTATCAAGTAAGCCTCCCGGTATCCCTAACCCTTTTTACTAAATTGTTCTGGTTTCTACAAAAGCCTGGACATCCCACTTGTTAAAAAAAATTCTTTAGCAACTAGATTCCTTAGCAATGGTAGATTTATGATGTGCTAAATGTTGTCCTCTCTGTATAGCATGTATTCATATGTGTTTTCTTTATGATATACTGAAGTTAAAAACAAAAAAACTCTATGAATATTTAAAATTTCATTCCATCCTTGGATTTTTAATTTATTTATTTCACCAAAACCATTGATCTCATTGCCAAATCATTATGAGCTTGAAAGTACAGTTTTCTTTCTTCAAAATTATTCTTGGAACATAGCAGAAGATGTTGCATTTTATTTTTGGTCATTTTGTGATGGTCCTAGACTTCATAAAAGCAAGATGAAATTTTGAAGTCGATCTGATTCCTTGGAAGTTGTTTGATTTTTTAAAAAATTTTATCTAAAACATTAACTACCAACTAACCTTCTCCAAATTTCCATCTCTATCTGATAATGTGTTGTACTAGAGTCTTACTGATATATTTAGAGTGACCTCGTCAAATTTATGTGGAGTTGAAGCAGCAAAGATTAACATTTAATTAAGCAAAAGGATTAAATTGATTCTTAGCTACTGACTGTTCTTTTTATTACTGTTTTTTATTGCTTAATTATTTGCTGGCTATCTCTCCTCCTAGATTTTCAAAATACTTCCACAAGTATAGTCTAATGTTCTGCCTACATTTTT